AATTCAAACATTATTTTAATTTGCACGATTATGGTGGCTTATACTTCTTTTCCATTCATTATCCAGATTAATTAAAAAAATGAATGTGAGTTTATTCGGAAACAAACTTAGCAAAGTTTATTCAACATTCTGTAAAATATTACAAAATATTCTCATGCTAAAACAAATGCTTATTATGTGCATAATTTCAGTTTTTAACGTTAATCCAAATTTATCTATATTTATCTAAAATTCAAAATTATTACATTATTCTCCTGAGTTTTAACTGACCACAAACAAATATTTCAATATGTCAAAATGTTGAAGAAAAAAATATATATATAGAAATTGCATATGTTATTATTAAAATAAATGCTAGTGACAATATTCTAAAGATACTAAGATTCTGTAAATTTTTAATAACTCCTTATATTCACATAAATTGTAAAATTTATCTACCTATGATCCCTTTCTATATTTTAATATACACAATAATAAATAAATTATAATTTATAATAAATTAGAATACAAAAATATTTTTAACTGCTATAACTTCGAGAATAAAAGAATTACAAATTATTCAAGCGTTTCGTTATCCCAACTGTATGAATAACAATTAAAGAAGGGCTAAATAAATGTCGTCGATAGTGACGTATATGGTACGTTTATTTAAATTATATTTAAATATATTTAAAAGGTATACGAAGATCATTCATTTCATATAGTCATGTATTTATTTCAATATCCGTTGACAAGAAATGCCATGTTCCTATTCCTCATTAATGCATATCTTTAAAAAAGTAACGGATTTTTCGATAAAAAAATGTTTGCCACGAAACTTCGTCGATGAAACCCTGTAATCTCTAGATTATTAATTATTGATTATATAGGTGGTATAGCTCATTTGTGTATCAATAGAAATAGAGATCAATAGAAGAAAGCTTACGAGGCATTAATTAAAGAGATCTGATTTCGGTCGCACCGTATTATTTAATATTGCCACTCCGAAACATCTGTTTTTAATATGCAGGTTGAAAACAATTGGAAAAAGATGTTTACATTCCTGCATATGTCTTAAGCGCATGAAATTTATCGCTTAGAATTTTAATGCAAATTAAGTATAGGAAATGTGGGAACAATTTTTTATCAATCGTTATATAATAAATGAAACTCTATTAACAGTTCTTATTTTTTGCTAATTTACACATTTCAAGAAATGAATTCTTAAATATGTCGAAAAATCGTGTCGTAAGCATTTCGAAAATTATTCGAATTAGTTGGATTCTACAATCGTAATCAGTATGTAAATTTCTTACGCGTCATTCTATCATAAATTACTTGAAAATCAATTGTAGATTTTAAATTTAATTTCTCCGTTTGGATATGCGATAGTCAGTATGAGCTTGTATGCGTACGCGCAGCTCGGATTGTAAACATATTGACAGGAATAGTATACAGGATTCACCATAAACCAAAACACAGGAAATGTGGCAAACCATAATAAATATCATATAAGCGCAAACGTGAATGTAATGTAGACGAAAATCAGAGGAATAATAAATTTAATGCTGCATTAATTTAATTAATTGATTATATAACCATAGCCGCTGGAGATGTAATTATTATTAAGAAATATTATAGGATGACCATTGCAATGTTATAATATATAATAATATATAAAAATAGCAATTATTATACCGATGATGATAAAATATTATAACGAATAGTATTAATTAATGTAATTGTGACGGGGTTGGGGTTGTGGTTGGGGGGGTGGGGGGGTGGGGGGTTGGGCGGTTGGGGGGT